TCACAGTGCGGGACGTGACCAATTGGGATATAAGTACCATTTTATAAATATTTTATTATCGCTTTTTACTTTTATGCTTTCAGAATTAAATTTTAAAATTAGATTTCGGCCCAGTTCAATTAGTTCAGCTTCTTGAGATATCTACTTACATTGCTCCTCTTTGTTTCCTCTGCCAAATCATGCGAATTTCATGCAATAAGCCTTATCGATATTAGAGTCTAATAGGCTTGCCTGTTTTGAGCTTGGTCTTCTTCAATGAGCCTTAGAAATAGAACATCCCGATTTGATTATCACTGATGCCTTTCGAGGCCGTCTTTTTGTTTACTCAGCCTGTCACAATCTTGAGTCTACTCAAGAGGTCTGTTTGCCTCGCAGAGAGCACGTTTGACGTTAATTTGCTACCATTTATACCGTCAGTTAGTCGCTCTAACTGTGGATTAGGATTGAAGCAAACTAGATTCTGCTGCCAATTTGCGAATGTCGCCTTTGTCGGCAGGCCAGTTTAATTTTCATCGAAAAAAACTTACCGATAGTCTTGAAACCGACCGCCAGTATTATTAATTGGCGATGAAACAATAAAATCTAGCACATACCCCACGGATTATCAAGCCCAGCCTCTGAGAACCCATCCTCGGGTCGTTCGTTTGGGGCTCCCTTCTTCTGTCGTCGACGCATCCACTTAAGATGGGCCACATTTCCGTTTTATATGTGGGTTCTCGTGCTTACCACAAGTCAGATATATGGCATGTACTTGTTCTATTTCGTTTAAAGTTATGAAATACTGATTTTATCATTTTGCCATGATCATGCAAGTGAAATTCAACGAAATCGTGAGACCTACTCATATCATTGTGGATAAATTCAACTACCAGTCCTTCATCATTAAATATATGCCATATTTGCATTTGCAGAAACAACAAAAGACTTCAGCTTCTCCTTGGTTATGAGGCAGTATCACCAAGATTAAACTTGCCTTGAAATTTGCTAATCCTTGCTTGATTTTTCTTTGAGCATTAAGCTGCATTCTTGCTCTTGTTTTAAGTCTCCTAAATCGACATTTTGAGCGTTTTGTTGATTTGATTGTAATTGTATCAGCATCAAGCACAGTTTTCCTATTTTTTTAATTACAGTTTTGTGCTTTTAGCATAATTGTCCGCTTAATATAACAGAAGGTTTGTGTTTTTTATAGTTCTCTTTTTTGCGTTTTAAACATCTCAAAGATTTTCTATCTGTTCTATTTTCGATGTCTTTTCATCAGCATATGTATGATTTGTCCTCCTACAATGGACTTGCTGCTAATTCAAGTCCACTAGATACTTTGAACTCTTATTATGGAAGCCAACATTTCTTAGGGGTGCTGATAAATCTAATTATGACAAATAAATTAAGGACCATTGTCTAGGTGTATTCATGTATTTTGCATACAAAGTTCTCTATCCCCTCAACTAATATCTTTATGTAGCTAATTCAACCGTCGTCACTCGGTAGCGATTCATTTTCTCATGAGAAAAACCTCAGCGTGAAAGTGAGACTTACCATAAAATAACTAAAGTCTTTCGATTTCGTTACGTTTTTTGTACCTTTATTCGATTCCAAGGCTTTAACCATCACATAACTCCGTACGGATGCATTGATATAGAGATCACTTCCTAATCAACCTTATCGTCGATGTTAGTCCTTTCTATTATTATACTTCATATGAGAGTAGGGTTTCGAGACTACCATTAAATCAGTG